TAAATTGCTTAAGTCATCGGCTTGTACGTAGGATCAAAATCGAACTAAGTTCGTTATCTTTTGCGAAGTTGATAACTTATGGTGGGAACACATCAAACGCTTTTTGATTGGCTTAAATCAAAATGTATGTAATCTTGTTCCTTGAATATTTCCATTGCTATATTTGTGACCACAAATGTGAACACATCAGAAAATACATGGTGTCAATATGATGGAGATTTTCTGTAGTTATACACACATCTGTATGGGTTATTATTATGATTACAATTTTGGCATCCATCAATGATGCTTTCCATTTCATTCCTGGTTTTGTTATCTATCGTTCACCAGCTTTTTGTTCAAATAGTTTTCAATGTATTTATTGACGGAGATTTGTTTTATTTTCGCTTTTGTTCAATGCGTTCGCACATATTTTCTTTATAACATGCGAGCGAAAGAGTTAGTCAAAAGTCAGTGAGCGGTGTTGTCAGTTGAAACTATGTTTAAAGTGAAATTTTTTCACTGATAGTTGATAATTTGTTGTTGTGGTTGCTATTAAGGCAAAAAGCAGAAAAAAACTTGCAATGGTTCCAAAATTACTTGGACATAAATCAATTAAATGATGTTTTAACGGTAATTGCTTTAGACGTGTTTGTCTTTCTGCTACATTTCTTTGCAATGCCAGAAATTTAATAGTTGACAGAAGAAATATCAATGTGGAACAAATTAGCAATTTTCATTTGTGAAAAATGTTATAAAATAAATAGTGCTGTTCAATATGTTTATTATTTGTGTGCAAATGATTATTATTATTAAGTTTCCCCTATGTGTGACAAATTCTTAACACACACCTGTGTTATTGTTCGTAACAAAAAATAAAGCTTCCGTATCTTTTGAATAGATTTCTTTGTATGAATTCTGAAATAATGTTGACTCTTCTAGTTAAATGATGTAATTTGTTTGAGAGAAGCTACAGCTTGCTAATTTTACGAATAAACAGTGAAAAAGAACACAGCAGAAGCTCCGCAAGTCACATTTTAAATTACATAGTGGGCTTTAAATTATTTCGCGAACATACATGTTCGATGTCGATGACTCTTATAGAACACATTTTCTTTGTCACCTATAGTCGTACGAAGAAGGCGATACTTCGTTAGCGAACATTCCACATCAGTAGAATTAAAATATGAAAGGTAATCATTTGACAAATCTCAAGATATGTAATTTCGACCATTGATATTTCGTACCAAAAAGTATTCTTCTACCATTATACGATTGCATTTTTTTATTTGATGTCTCTTCAATGTCAAATTAATATTTTGCAATTCCTCCTTAAAAATACTAGTAGAATATTTTCATATCTTATTTTCAGTTAAGTTGGCATTAAATTTGTTACAAGAAATTGTCAGCGTAAGTTTTTGTCTTAGTATCCATATAGCGGTTCTTGTGAGGACTTTGACAACATTTTTCAGCAGGTGATTCTTAAAGGCGAACCTAAAATAAAACGTCATTCGAGGCCTACATAAGAGTTAATATCACCGAAAACGTTTCTTTAAGATAAAGGGTTGAAATCTTTATCTTTATACATTTATGTCCAAGAACAAATAAATAAACTTAGTATTCCTAATATATGGAACGTATATGTTTTAATGTGAAAAGGAATGCCGAAAACAAAAGATTATTTATTATATTTGTAAAATCTGCCACTCGTCATATGTAAATATTTCAGATATGAAAAAATGCATTTGAAGAATGACAAGATCGAGTTCGTCAGAAAAGGGTGGCAATATTCGATTTAACAAATCAGTCTACCTCTATTGTTTTGTCATGAGTGTTTGCTTATTCTTTGTTTAAAAATCGATCTATAAAAAAACATTAAGTTGGGTACCACCGTTGGGTAATAAAAACATTTTTATATGAAAGTATCTGAATTCAAACGTGTTCCACTTTAAACTACAAATACCAGTCAGACCGTTTGGATAATGCTGTTAAACTTTTGAAAAAACCATAAAGGGGCGAGTCCGGGGACCTCCATAGACAATTTTGTACGTCAAGGATTGACATCTACCAAATCTTTTTAAATACCGAATTTGAAACAATTTCGTGGGTAAATGTGACTAGGATTTCCAAAATACTGAGTGCTGGTGGGTGTCGTTATATATACGCTATAGGAAAATGTTGATCTAAATGTTCAATTTGCTGCCATTATGTAGTTCATAATGGGAGCTAGAACACATTATGAACTACAAATACCAATTTTTAGACAAATCCCTGGAAAATGTGACAAGAATCGTCCAAATACTGAATACGTTTTCAGCTGACCTCCTGGGCAAGTAAACACGATTATTTTGTTTGTTAATAAACTGCTGAACAACGAATGTTTCCTCGTCGGAGAAAACCAAGTTCGGCAGTTCAACACTTTCGGCCAAGCGAAGCAACTCTTTAGATCTTTTGAGTCACTTTTTGGAATTCCAATGGCATTACCCCGAGCTTATTTTTCAATATTTTTCCGAATGGAATATTGCGATATGTTCAGTTCACGATCCATTCTCGGCCACTGAGACGCGGTTTTCGATCAAGTTGCTTCATTACTTTTCCTCCACTTCCTTGACGTCAGGCTACGATACCACGACGAGACACAAAAGATTTATTTACATTTAAATGCTGGAGTGCTCTAGCGATAGCCACTTGTAGTTTTCCTTCCAAATATAAAAAAATCATACTATCACTCTTGAATTCCATCACGAATAACATTTTTTTCTGGAAAATTCTCACCAAAATGCTTTTGTGCGCTTATAAACAATATAATGAGCTGTCACTGGAATAATTTTAACAGTTGTCGGATGAGTGGCTTAGAAATGACAGCAATCTGAAGTTGGTTGTAGTTTTTTCATCTCATCCTGTATAAATGTAACATGATGTATAGACTCGCATTTCAGAAAGAACATGGTAGAAGAATACAGGTAGATGCATCAACGCAGGTGCTGGGACAAGGAACTGTCAAACCAATTTTGGAATTTAAAATGTTGAATGAAAAATTATTTAAATTTGTAAAACTTGTTGAAAACCGCGTATTATAATATATAAAAATCTACTTATATTTGATAAAACGTTTAAATTTTTTTGACATATCAATGTTCACAAGTGTTGATGCATCTACCTGTATTCTTCTACCATGGCATCTACCATGAAGTATAAATATACTTTTACTATACAAAAACATATCTTCTCACGACCGGATTTATTTTAAATCTTGGCTATATTTGGATGTTTGGCCGGTCATAACCACGAAAGTAAAAGTGATGGGGGAAAATACCGGACACGTAAATTTTTTAAAATGTTTTTCACAAATAAAAAAAAATATATTTTAATATGTTTTCTTATACGACGCCAGCCGGAGGTTGTTATGATATGCATGTTTGAACATTCTTAACGAATTTGAATAATTTTTCATTTAAAATTTTCAATTTCAAAATTAGTTTGACTGCTCATTGTCAAAATAGCTGAGTCGATGCGACTACCTGTATTCTTGTACCACGAGAAATAAGCCAAATAACACATTTAAATATAAAGTCATATCCGGATTAATCCACATTATCATGGGTTAATTGCATAATCTCGATTTATTCAAGCAGATTTTAAGTACGTTTACAAGTATTAAATCGTGTGGAATTCAACTTTAAATTCCATTGAGTTTGCGTCAAACAAAATCCACCGGATTTAAGAATCGATTTCATTTGACATACGATTTGGTAAGTGTAACATGGTAGAAGAATACAGTTAGTCTCATCGACACAGCTACTGGGACAATGAACTGTCAAACCGATTTTGAAATTGAAAATGTTGAATGAAAAATTATTGAAATTTGTAAAAATTGTTGAAAAATTCATATTATAACAATCACCGATTTGCGTCGTATAAGAAAACATTTAAAAATATAATTTTTTTTTTTTGATAAAACATTTTAAGAATTTGACATATCAATTTTCCCAAGCGTTGATGCATCTACCATGGTAGAAGAACATAGGTAGACGCATCAACACAGCTGCTGGGACAATGAACTGTCAAACCAATTTTGGAATTGAAAATAATGAAAGAAAAACTTTTTAAATTTGTAAAAAATGTTGAAAAACGCGAATTATAATAGCCTCCAAATGACGTAGTGTAAGAAAACATATAAAAATCTACTTATATTTGAAAAAACATTAAAATTTTTTTGACATATCAATGCTCCTAAACGTTGATGCATCTACCTGTATTCTTCTGCCATGATACAAAAACATATCTTCTCACGACCGGATTTTTTTTAAATCTTGGCTATATTTGGATGGTTGGCCGGTCATAACAACGAAAGTAAAAGTGATGGGGGAAAATACCGGACGCGTATTTCATTTATGTCGGTTTTCTATAATGCTGCTATCTCATAACAACAACAATGTAAGGAAAAAGACAAATATTCTCTTTCCTTAGTAAATTATATTCTCATTATTTTTCTGTCAGTGTAGCTATAAACTTGGCTCAATAATTTCCGTAGAAGCCACAACCATTGAGTGTCGTCTGCCTGTGTGTGTGTGCATGTATGGTAAAGAAGTTCCAACCGGGTCCACAACAATTGATCTCCAACTGAGAAACTAACTGAGCTGAGCTTCTGATTTGAGCATAAAGTGAAAGAAGGAGTGTTGACAATGAAAATATGAAACGAAAGAAAATAAAGAAGAGGAAATGCCAAAGAAACGAAATAAAGAGTGAAGAGCATTGGAGAAGAAGAGTGTGGCCGTGTGTTGTGTGTATGGGTTATGGCTCTGGGAGTGTGTGGTGTTTTGCGGTACAAGTGATTGACTAAAAACTTAAATAAAAAGAAACACTAAAAGAGGCAACAAAAGCATTTCAACGGATTGTCGTTGTCATCGTCGTCGTCTTCGCACGGCTAGTAGCCAGCTCTGGCAAAGGGGGATATACTCACTCACTGTTAACATAAATAAAAAGCCAAATAAGTTTTTTTCTTTACCTTTTTTCAGCCATGTAGTGGTGGTGTTGTAAATGCTGTTGCCGCCGCTGCTGACAATGTGGTGGTTGTTGTTGTTCTTCTGCCTGTTGCTGGCCCCATGAATGCGAGTGTAAAGACGCAAAGTGCTTAAGGAATGGTAAGCCAGACCTGGATGGCCAGTCTAAGGTGAGCTCTCGAGTAAAACGGTTTGGTTTTCGTCCCCACCAAATGGTACAACGCACTCAGTCGTCTGTCAGTCATTCAGCCAGTTAAGTTAGTCAAGAAATAACGGTCTACTCTGAGTATAACCAACCGAACAGTTGTGTGGCTAATTATGCGTATTGTTTGACTGGAAGGAATTCAATTCGAAGAAAGAAAAAATATTCAAAACTTATATTAAATTTGAAAATCTTTACAAATTTTTTATGAAAATATAAAATAAAAGTGTTATTTTGAGAGAAGAAAGAAGATATTGCTATTGTGTTAATTGAAAAATATAAGTAAATGAAAATAGAAAATCACAAAATAGATTAAAAGATTTAACCAAAAATACCTATAGCAAATTGAAAACAAATTAACATCTTGTACAACAACAACTTAGAACCGTTTCCAAAGAAAATACCTACAAGAAAAGCGCACACACACGCACACATCACATCACTAATCACAATGGAATACCGGTGCTCGAGAAGATTAACAACCCAAGTAAGTGACCCCATTAAAGAAAACACCATTGAAACACCAAATACGACAAACTGTTTTGAAGTTCGAAAATATGAGAGAAAAAAAGATACATCCAAAGAAGCTGTAAACTAAACTGGTACGAAGCGATGCTTGCAGTAGGTTTTCTTGCAGTAGGAGGTGTTGTAGAGATTGCCAAACTTAGTGTAAATAGATTTTTAAATGTTCCTTTTTTGGGGGGTTTGATGTTCTTTGATCGTTATGACTATGTGAGCCATGTCGGAATTAAAAACACTCAAATTCAAAATTAATTAAAAATATAAATTGTATTTCCGCTGGAATATGATTCATGTTATTTAGTGTGTACCATGGTAAAAACATTTTAAAATGTTTTTCGAATATGGCAACAAAATAAAATATGTTTTCATATCAGAAATATGTACGTATGACAAATGGCATATTTTACAAAAAATAATAACAAGATCCGTTCAAGCCCCTTTTTTAATGGTAAAAATAAACAAAAACAAGTAAAACGGCAGTAAGTTTGGGCGGGGCGAACTTTGAATATCCTCCACCATATGGAACGAATTTGGCAATTCTCAAAAACAATAAAATCCGTTAAAATCTTAAAAAAAAAAACACCGAATGTAGCTGTTATATTAGGGTCTATACGGCGACATGGACCTACATAGGTAACATTTGTCATAAGCCATTACAATATTCAAATGCGAAACTGGGGGAATGGGGGCTATACGAAGACATGGACCTGCACAGACAATTTTCTGTCTTAGGCTGTAGTATCCATTAGAACTTCAAATACCAAATTTGAAACACTAAATTTGAAACAATTCCGGTGAATAATATCGTTAAAATGAATATATAATAGTGAAGTAAAACATTTGTGTTTTATGCCCCCCTTATTGTCAAATTTATATTTTGTAGTTCTTCCTTAAATATGGGCGTACAGCTGGCAATGATTTTGTATTTATTTCCGAGCAAATATTTCGTTATTTTCACTACTTTTTGAGAGTATAAAAGTCAAGAAGAATATAATCTATAACAGAAAACTAAAATATTAGTCTGATAAGTAAGCTGGTAATTCTGGAGTTTTGATCCGTAAAGGCGGACCTAAAGTAAAACGTCATTCGAGGCCTACATCAGAACCATGGCAGAAGAATACAGGTAGATGCATCAACGCTTGGAAGCATTGATATGTCAAAAAAATATGAGTGGATTTTTCAAATATAAGTGCATTTTTATATGTTTTCTTATACTACGTCATTCGGAGGCTATTATAATTCGCGATTTTCAATCTACCGATTTCGTCAACCTATATTCTTCTACCATGATCAGAACTAATATAAAAAAATGAAAAAAAAATCCTTAAGATAAAGTTTGAAATCCCTATATTTATATGTTTAAGTCCAAGAACAGATAAATCAACTTGATATTCCTAAGATATGGAACGTAAAACTGTTTAACGAGCCAAGGAACGCCGAAAATTAATTATTATTTATTATTTTTGTAAAATCTGCCACTCGTCATACGAAAATATTTTAGATATAAAAATATATTTTATTTCCAAAATGACAAGGTCGTGTTCGTCAGAAAAGGATTGCCATATTAAATTTATCAAATGAGTTTACCTCTATTGTTTTGCAATGGAATTCCAATAAGAAATTTGTCATTTTGTTTGTTTTATATAACACTGTTTTGATATCATTGAAATGTCAAATTCGATGTTTAACAGTTGTTTTACTTTTGCTCGCCCAGTTTCGTGGGCTAAAAAGTTTCTAAAGTGGACAAACAAGTAGTAAAATAGAAAGAAACTTTCATGGCAGAAGAATACAGGTAGATGCATCAACGCTTGGGAGCATTGATATGTCAAAAAATTTTAAATGTTTTTTCAAATATAAGTAGATTTTCATATGTTTTTCATACTACGTCATCCAATTTTTACAAATTTAAAAAATTAAATAAATTAATAGCTTAACCCGACAAAAAGCTTAAATGTAAACAAGCTACATATTTTAATTATCAGCTTTATATAATTTTCTTCCTTTATAGAGGGTATACAAGTCACGAAAATTATAAAATATATTCTCAGAAATATATGTAGATTTCTTGTCAATTCTGCGTCCATGTCTAAGGAAGAACTACAAGATATAAGTTGGACAATGAAGGGACATCAAATAAAAATTGTAATCCTATGATTGCATGAGATTACCTTTGTAATTGTTTATGTTCTGTTCCAGAATCTGCAAAAATATACTATTTTTGCATTTTTTCTTCGATATCATAAAGGAAAAATCCGGTTATCTTAGTAAAAAGTTGTTCATTCTTTCAGTTGACAAAATCTCATTTTCAAAATCCATTGTATGCACAGAAATCGGAGATAGGTACGTGTTTTTTATTCAGTGAAATTTGACAAGGTAAATTATAAAAAATGCAGAGATGGATATGCTTATTTGAAATGACTTCTTAAGTTTGCCATGTTTGAAACAGACAATGTAAAAATTAAAATATGTGTATAGTTTGCATTTTATTTCCGATGATTTGTCGTTTTTTGGCGACTTCTAATGGGTAATTTGTCTAAAATATTTTTCATTACATATTTTCATAGAACAAGAAACCAGCCAAAGGAGTCAAAATCTGTACACATTTTTATTTTACATTTTAATTGCTTTAATATATATATTATGCTCTATTCCAGAACCTACTAGATTGTAATACATTTACACCTGATTAGGATACCCAGTAGATTCAGATTTTCTACTCCATTGCATATGCGTCAAATAAATAAAGAAGAGTTAACCTGCAATAAGCTCAAATGTAAACATACTATAAGTCAACCTAAACTTGTTTATTTACAATAAAGAAAAAGAAAGAAATCAGAAATAAAGAAAAGAAATCAGACATAGGTTAACTTAGGTCAATTTTGGCTCATAACTTATACGTTCCTTTGTTCTTTTACGAAGAAGACATCCGATGACTTAAACCAGTAAAAAATGTCTTCTATGTATTTGCACCTTTGTTCCAGAAATAATGATTTATGTTTGTACAATGGACGTATAAATATACATTTTGACAATGAGATGTTGTCAAATGAACAATTTTGAAAATGACTTTACCTTTTTCATTCTACCATGAGAATGTTGAAAATCTCCACATTTTTTCATCTACATACGTATGTACAACCCTATTTTATCCCGAAAAGAACAGCGAATACCCTTTACCATTCTCATTATCCCCATACACAATCTCAACATAGGTATTTGCCGTGTGAAGGCAATACTCACGTTTTGCTATAAAATTATTCGCATACAAGTACGGTGGTAAGCTTTATTCATTTTTATTATTGTTGTTGTTTCTTGGAATTGCAGCATGCATTGTTTTCGCTTATATACCTTATCCTGCCTACTTACAACATGCCACGAATGTGTGCAAGTATTTTCTTTTCACTGCTGTGTACAGCATCAGTATTCCGCCAACCAACCAACCATCCATCCATCCATCGGATAGTTTTGTTTTCTTTAGTTTGCTGAGATGAAAAGAAGCCCATCGGCATCAGTGAGTGGGGGCAGTGTTGTCCATGTAGCAAAAGCTATTTGCAAATCTTGAAGTGCATCAAAATTGTGGAACAGTGTTTTGAGTGCTGTAGGTGGTGGTCTGCAATGGATTTTATTTTTATCGAGTCCGAAAGTTTATTAAGAATAATAAACAGGAAGATTTTAAAGTTCTCCTAAAGATATTTTCAAGAAAATTAGCCAAACGTAACATTTTTAAAAGACTGTGCCAATAACAAAACCAGTCTCTTAGTCAGTCAATTGTTTCTCTCTCTCTTTCTCTCTTCTCAATAAAACTGTGGCAAGTTCAGGTTCAAATATGTATGAAAGTAAGGTAGTTCTGCTGTTCGATTGTTGCAAAAACACAACTTCATGCCTACATACATGTCTTGCTTTCAGTGTTCCATGTTGTTGCTGTTATTGCATGTTTTGTTCATATTACGATGATCTCTGAATGTTTGATGGATTTTCTTTCTTTTTATCGCCATTCATATTCCAAAGAAATGATTCTGGTTTGATTTCGCGTTTTGAAGCGATTGATTAGAGCTGATGGAAAGAACATATCTTTTATGATCGCCCATGAAAAAATATATTTGTGACATACATAAGCAAGCATCAATGTCAGGTTTTGCATGCAGAATTAAAGGTGATGATGCATAAGCAGCTTGGCATCACGGCATGACATAAAGGGATGTCAGAGCCGCAACCGCTTTGTAATATTTGTCGATCGCTTCCAAAATTATGAAATTGTTGTCAAAAATAGTCTCCTTGTCCGACCCTACGAGAAATTTTGCCACATGAATTTACAAACTCAGAGCAAGTCATGCTAGTTGTGTTCCAATACTTTTTTAGTAGTAAAACTAGCAGAAGAGAGAACAGTTCGAAATGTCATTCTCATTTAGGTTTGCTCAAAAAATAAGGGAACGGAAAATTAGCAGAAATGCGCTAAAATGTCAACATTCAAAATTCCAAAAGAAAACAGTCTAAATCGGACTGGTGAAACCTTACTGAAATGGACGCCAAAATGTAAAAAATGAGTATTGAAAATAAGTTAAAATTATTAATTATTTTTGAATGGTGTTTATTTAGAAAGTTTTGTTTTCAGAATGCGTTGAAGAGTATTTAGTGGTGGAGTTTTCTCAAATCCCAACCCGGAGAAGCTGACATGGTTGGAGGCGCCGGTTAAATTAATGTTAAGTCTGCAAGAAGACTTAATGCCACAAGTTGGGAAGACAGTCAACCTAAAAAATAAAAAGAAAATGTTCGCAGTAATAAGCAAACGTCTATGATTCTAAGCTTAATTTTTCAATTTACCTTTTACTAATTCTGCACTGTTTTCCAATACGTTTTCTTCGTCTGATTCCTCATTCAGCCAGTCCTCTTCACTGCTGGAATCATCCAAAAGTGAATACATCAGTTGCTTCATATTTCCTCTTTTTATTTTTTTGCGCGACAAATATTAGTTATTCTTTAATTTTTAAGTTACAGCCTGTTCCACGATCTCGAAAGAAAATTTGTGCGAACGAAGGCTACTCACTCACTTTCGTATAAGAATGCGTTCCACTAACTTTCGTTCTTTCTTTCGCATAGCCTTACGTGATTCAGTGTTGCTAAATATTTTTTTGGAAAAATTAATCGCGAAATAAAGCAAAAAAAGCGTCAAATGTCTAATTTAAACGCGAAAAAGCAGCAGTGGCTCTGTCTCAACTGACATTTCAGTTGTAAACAAACAAATTGTAAATAAACAAACAAAATAAAATTTCTAGTGATTGTGTTCAAACTATTTGTGCTCTTAGAAAATAAAAAAAAAGAATATTTCCGTAGCCCTATTTTTTATGGAGGAGGTTCGAAATGTGCCACGGAGGAATTTAAGAGATGCTTCGAATTTATTTGAAGTACCTAACAACCAGTAAGTATGATTGTATTTTTACATTTTTGAAATAATAAAAAATTATTTTTTCTAGGTTTGTGGCCAACTTTCGTGTGTCGAAGGAAGTTTTCGGGCTCTTTTGGATATGATGGAAGAGAAGTGGGTGCCCGGTTGCAGAACTACCCAAATCCGCCCCGATTTAAAACTTCTTCTGCTGCTTCCAAAAATTGGCATTCCTCTGGCGAACACAGGATTCTCCTCCATTTACTCAACTAGTGCCCGCAGCTGTGTAGTTGATGATTTTTTCGTGCTGGAATTGAGAAAATAAAAAAATATATATTTGTTGTTCACATATTAAATTGCATTTATTATTTTTACTTACATTTTTGTTTCCATTTTCAATCAAGCAATGTTTATGTTAAAACAATTTTCCTTAATTGTTATTATACGATAGCAAACACACAAGTGACTGATTTTGACATTTGTGTTCGCATGCGTACGAAAGAAAAAAGATAGTGGAACGCAAAATTACACTGAAATGCTTACGTTTTCGTTCGCTTTGATTTTCGTGCAAATTTTCGTTCTGATAGATTTTAGTGGAACGAAAATCAGCTGTTTGTCGTGTAAAAGTTGTGCGAACGTGTTCTTTCGATATCGTGGAACTGGCTGTTAATCTTTTTTCTTTACATTTGTTGTTACGTGCGAACATTGAAATGTATTAATACATTTTTCAACCTTGTTAGCCCTACCAATTAAATGTCAAATTTACAATTTGCACATTTCTGCTCGGCCAAATTCATGTAGCTAAAATAAGCAGAAATGTGCACCACTCAGCGCCATTTTATTCTCGAGAGAGCTGCAAGTTTTGCTAGTTTTTGGAGTACGGGAACGCGTTGTAGTAGAATTAACACTAATTAGTACTAACTTTTAGGTTCTGGAACACAACTGCTCTGTTCCAGTACCTGCAAGAACCTACTAGTTTTGCAATTTTTTTCGAAATCATCGGTTATCGTAGTAAAAACATTTACATTCTCGTAATTCTGGAACAGACCTTCAATTGCCACAAGTGGCATTTCCTTTGGCTCTTATTTAAGGTGTAAGTACATAAGAAGCTTGAAGTAATGGCTATATTATATTTTGTGACATTTCATAAAGGGATTACAAAGTCGCACTAAAATACTGCCGTCGTTTTCCATTATAATGTGACATTAATATGCCTAGCCATGACTTCAAGCTTGCACCCATAGTGAATATTTTGGGCTATCGCATCACATCCATAAATAATTTGTGTAAATTAAGGCGTTATCAGACGGAATGGTTTTTACATATGTGATATCACTTTTTTATCCATGTGTATTTCCGTGTTAATGCCAAAATTGTCATTTTACATGTGACTTATAATTTATGCTATCACATTTTTTATACTTTTTAATTGTATTTTTCCGATGAAAATAGGGCTCGCTGTGTTCGAAAAATAAGTTATATTCCATGGTAGAATAATACAGATAGACGCATCGACACAGCTGCTGGGACAATGAACTGTCAAACCGATTTTGGAATTGCAAATTTTGAACGAAAAATTCATGGCACAATTACCAAGGTAATCTCATGCTATCATACGATTAAAATTGTTTTCTTTTATGTTCATTGTCAAAATTATATTGTATAGTTCTTCCTTAAATATGGGCGTACGGTAGCAAGATTTTTTCATTAATTTAAGACTACAAATTTTGTTATTTTCACGCCTTTTAGAGGGTATAATAGTCAAGTAAGAATATAGTCGAATAGTTAACGAATCACAATAATTTTTACGTATGTTTTCCAAACCCAAATTCATGGCGATTGGTGTGTGTGTAAACGTACTTTTACATACAAATCTTTAATATACAAATCTATAATATTCCTGATAATTGATCAATCGCAAAAATTTTAGTATATTCAGTGTCACGGTTATAGTCTTAAAGAACGTTTACAACAAATTCTTTTTCGGGTTAAGCCTGATAATTGACCCATCACAATATATTTCACTATAGAAACCATGGCAGAAAAATACAGGTAGATGCATCAACGCTTGAGAGCATTGGTATGTCAAAAAAATTTTAATATTTTTTCAAATATAAGTAGATTTTTATATGCCTTCTTATACTACGTCATTCGGAGGCAATTATAATTTGCGTTTTTCAACAATTTTTACAAATTTAAATAATTTTTCATTCAACATTTTCAATTCCAAACTTGTCCAAGTAGCTGTGTCGACGCGTCTACCTATATTCCTCTACCATGATAGAAATCAAACAAGAGATTTATTGGTATTGATACACCGTTAACTAGGTAAAGATTTTGTATGTAAACGCGCTATTATTTCATGGAGTATTTAATCGATCAAGTTAATTTATGGATCAAGATATATCAGAACCAAACAAAACTATGAAAATACTTTTAAAATCAAAATTCTCTTAATAACAACAAGGTAATATTTTCCGAAAAATGATATTTGCACACTCATAAGGGGTTAAAATTTTTGACACATCAAACATCCATTCTAAACTGGTTTGTTTAGACACACCTCAGTAGCGTTTAAGTAGGTCTTTCAATTGAATCTGCCAAAACGTGTCGGAAAAAAGAACATGAGAAGAAGAGGCCAAAAGAAAAAGACTCAAGAAATGGTAGACATTGCTATAAAATATTCCAACAACAAATTGTTTTTTTTTTTTCACATTGCTATTCACAACACAAAATACACTTATAAACACCCCATTGTGCTCGGTAACACAATATATGGATCAATCAATCAATAATATTATGATATGGATAATTAAAAACAACAACAAAAAACGTAAATAAATATTGGTCAGTATATAATCTGGGTCAAAAACAATGTCAGACACGCTTAGATAATTGCGGGTTATAAACTAATTAGAGAATAGCGGTTAGAATACGTATATATAAACCCGAGAGGAAGTGGTAGTGGAAAATGTGATATTGCGGAAAATATTCATTGATAAAAAATAATAGACATGAATTGAGTTTCGTTGAAGAAAATTGGTCACTCTTAAATTTTGCCATGGAAGAATAAAGAGGTAAAGTCATGCAATCATATATTTACAATTTTTTCAAAATTATTCATTTGACATTTCACTGTAAAAAAATATATTTATAAATCTATTGTACATATACAAATCAGAGATGGGAACCTGTTTTCTATGCTGTGAAATTTGACAAGGTAAATTACATAAAATGCAAAGATGGGAATCTTTATTTGAAATAACTTTACCTTCTTGATTTTACCATGCATTTTGACTCAGAAGTCGAAAAAATTATTTTCAATAAGTGGAAGGCTGCGTTTCCTGCAAAGTTGTTTGTAATAAACACAGGGAACAATCACAAATATAATTTCATGCGATCATAGATTACAATTTATTTTATTTAACGTCTCTTTATTGTCAAATTTATATTTTGAAGTTCTTCCTTAGATATGGGCGTGTATTAACATTTTTATTTAATGTCTCTTCATTGTCAAATTTATATTTTGAGGTTCTTCCTTAGACATGAGCGTAGAGTTGGCAAGAAATATTTTGTTATCATCCGCTGGCTCCTTCGTAAAAGAACAAAGGAGTTTTAGGCTGGCTTAGTTCGATTTTGGCCCTTGACTCCTTTGTTATTTTCCGGAGAAGCCAGCCGATGATTTAAGCTAATCAAAAAATCATTTTATGTGTTCTAACCTTAATGGTTCCAAAACATTCAAGAATTTACTAGTTTTGAAATTTTCTCCGATATCGTAAATGGAAAAGCTGTTACCATTTTAAAATCATTTACATTATTGCAGTTCTGGAACGGACAAAAAGTATTGGATGTGGCAATTTTAATCCAAACCCAGTAGGTTAACACATTTATATGTGAAAGTATATATGGTAGAAAAATACATGTTTTTTCATATAAGTAGATTTTTATGTTTTCTTATACGACGTCATTCGGAGTTTATTATAATTCGCGTTTTTAATATTTTTTTACAAATTTAAACAATTTTTCGTTAAACATTTTCAATTTCAAAATTGATTTGACAGTTAATTGTCCCAGCAGCTGTGCGGATGCGACTACCTGTATTCTTCTACCATAAACGTACTGTTAATCTCATAAATGATGTGAGACATGGCTATGGAATATTGAATTTTGCTTCGAAGTATCACATTTCTGCAGCTAGGACAGGAAGATCGACGATATCGCAATTTATTTTGCTATACTACTAGTAGAAGACAGCCATCCCGCATTTTAGTCGAATTTAAATTCGTTACAGCAAATGACCAGCGTATAGGTGAGAGCACTTAAATAGTTTGAAGTCTTCGCATGGCATATTTTGTGACATATCATAAAGGGATGCGAGAGATAATTTGACATTAATATGTCTAGCCATGATGCCAAGCATCTAATGTACCCTCACTTTAAGTTTTCGTTTTAGTGCAGAATCCATATAGAAAATATTGTAAAAATCTTGACAATATTTTTTTGCTGTTTATTCTGGGACTTGATGGCTTAAAATCAAACCTCATTCGAGGATGACACTGAAACTAACAGTAAAGTTTCCTTAAGATGAAGGGTTCAAAATCTCAATTTTTTATGTTTCAAATAAGCATTCCCATCTCTGCATTTTCTGTAATTTCCCTTGTCAAATTTCACTGCATAGAAAACAGGCTCCCATCTCTGAATTACGAATATACAATGAATTTATAAATATAAATTTTGATAGTGAGATGTTGTCAAATGAATAATTTAGGAAATATTTTAAACAGATGATTGCCTGACTTCTTAATACTAACAAGAAAAGATAAATAAAATTGGTTTTCCTTAGATATATATTGTATAACTGATTTCACGTGCCAAGAATGGCCTATAAATAGAATATTTATTATTTGTAAAAAATATGCCACTCGTCATACGTAAATATTTTAGGTATGGCGGTAATTAATTGAAAATGACAAGGAAAAGTGTTGCCAAATTCGAATTAGCAAATGAGTCTCCCTCTATTGTTTTGCCTCGGAAAATGTTTAGTTTCCTTGTTTGAAAGTAACTTTTTTCCATAGAAACAATAGAGCACCACCTTGATTTTCCAAAAATTTTCTTTGTTATTTTAACAAAATGTTGCCCAAATTTTAATATAGAAATTCTATGAGATATTGCACCATTAAAGCTGCTTTACAAAGTGAGAGTTGAATAAAATTGTCATGGTCATCAGCCAAAGACACTTAAAAGACAATGACCACACAAGAGCCTGCACGCCAACGCTTGAGAACATGGAAACTAGAAAGATCATCGCCATGTCAGACTAGGGGCATTGCGTTTTTTTTCTAAACTTTTCTTGTTTGGAAGTGGAAATGCTTTGCAGCAGCAAAAGTATCACCACTTTTACTCGTTAACATCGAATGACCACAACATTAACGTTTTTGAGTGGGCGTGGGAATGAGTACTTCCCAAAACAAGAATTAATTTTTGCCGTCAACTAATGCCAGCGACGATAATGATCCGTGAGAAAAGAAATAAAAACGGAATAATAAGTATGTCTTGTTGAGAAATGTCTGCGAATCTTAATTGATTTCCATGTTTCATGTTCAAGTGAAAAATCTCAACG